GCCAGAAAGAAGGACAACAAGAAGTTGTGTGGAGCCCTGAGTTTCTACTTGGACTCATTTTAAGGCATAATATGTCAGGCATCTGGGAGATGGCCTGGGTCACTGGGCCTAAGTGAAATGAAATGTGCTGTTTCAGGGTTTCTGTGTAATCACATTGACCTATGTCACTAATTGAGGAAATATTTCCCGGTTCCCTTCCACAACAAACAAAAAAGAACAAATCCTTCTGAAATAAGCGGAAATTCATAAAGGTTTATTGGCATTCAACATTGTTTATTCAATTTTATCACAACTGAGACTTTGCTTTGGATTGTGGAGATGAATATTTCATAAAATGCTGAATATTACAATAACACAGACATTCCTACCCACATGATGCCATGATATATTAGACAATTATTTTGAACAAAATCACTTTTCATAAAGTGAATTGCCATTTCAATAAGTTGCAAAGGCAACAACAGACCTGCCTGTATTTAAGCACAGAAAATCCAGCTGATATCCAGAGGAGAGGTCGACTAATAATTGGTAACATTTTACATTTTCTAAGTATGGCAACTGGTGTTGATGATTCAGTCTTCACTGATTTTGAACAGGCACATATTTGGGCAGCACAACACCACTGTTGTTTGTCTGTTTGAACTTCTGCTTCACTCTCAACTATGTTACAACTATGGGTTTTTCTCCAGCTCCATCCATCTTCCTATTCTCGTCCCTATTGACAAAAAACAGCATGATGTTGCTGCCATCACATTTTACAGTGGGGGTCTTTGGAGGGAGACTCTGTTTTTAGTTGTTTTGGAAGTGCCTTTTAAAATGGGTCCTTCACATGCAACATGAAACAAGAAAGCAAGGTGGAAGGGGAGATGTGGTTGTGCATCATTTTTGACAGGTTTGTAAAATTGTTGCAGGTTTTGGACCCAGAGTTGGAATTTTCAGATCAGGCGTTTCCCCCACAGTCCATGCATCCTTCTGCACTAAAGATCCAGGTAGGAAAATGTGAATACAGATCTTTATACACACTCCACACTCCACGAAAGAGCACTTGGACTGACTTTAAATCTGCTTTAAAAGCCTCTGAAAATCAAATTTTAAATAATTAAAAATTCTTTTAATTTTAAAATCATGAACACCATGCACTGCCACTTCATACTCATTTAGAGTGTTGATTCATGCTAAGTCAGTGATTCCTTTCAAATGTTTGGGACTTTTAACCATTTAGAACAATAAACTGATCTGTTTTGTACCTGGAATCTAATTAGAATGTGTGTAACTTTAAATTTGTCTGTATGGGATTGGATTGAATGGACCGTTACCCTGCTACTATATATTTCTGAACACACATTGTTTAATTGTTTTGTAACATGGCTTAAGAGCGTCCTATAGATAAACTGAGCTGAACTGTGGGTGTGTTTCAGGATAAGGAAATCCGAGCCGTCTTCCTCTGGCTCTTTGCTCGACTTTTCCAAGGTTATCGCTGGTGTTTACATATCATCCGAATTCACCCAGAACCTGTAATCCGCTTCCATAAGGTATAGAAATGTGTTGTTGTGATGAGGGGGGAGGCCTTTGCTTTTAGTTGTAAAAAAACAAAAGTGTCTCTTCCTTTTACTGGGACAGGCGGCCTTCCTGGGTCAGAGATCCCTGACAGAGGATGACTTCCTGATGAAGGTGTTGGACGGGATGGCATTCGCAGGCTTTGTATCAGAGAGGGGCCCACCGTACAGAGCCACCGACCTGTTTGATGATGTGAGTCTTGAGTTTGATGATATGTGCACAAATATGAAGATTGTTAGCTAAATTAAGACTCTTGCTGATATTCTTTTCTTAAAAACTAAGTGTTGTGAAGTTTACATCAGTAGTTAAATACAAAAAAGAGAAGAGATTCATTACAGTAACAATGCTATTATGAAGCATTTTGATTCATTTCAATAAACATGGCAAATTTTAGTTTCTCTGATAACTAGAATATTATGTTTTTTTAAGCTGAATTACTGCACTGAACAAGTTTTCTGATGAATTTATAATTTACATGCATGTAAATATGAGTTGCATGTATTAATTAACTTTGTCATTAAAATGTGCTGAGGGTGCGGCGGCGGCACAGGGTTAAAGCCATGTATGGAGGCTTTAGCCTTTGATGCGGCTGTCACGGGTTTCAGTCCTGACCCCATGACCTTGGTCGCAGGTCTTCCCTCTCTCTCAACCCACTTTCCTGTCTGAGAGCTGTTAATAGAGGCCACTGGAGCCAACAAAATCTTAAAAACAGTGTTTCTACTGCATTCTTAGCCGTTCTATTCACGGGGTTTTATTATTTTGCTTTGTTGGTCATATAGCTTTCATATCATGCAGATGTTTAAATCTTCTTTTTTTTCCACAGCTTGTTGCCAATCAGGTGGAGCGAATACGACAAGAGGAAGCCTGCCCACACAAAGTCATGAATCACATCAAAGAGCTGGCAGAGCAACTTTTTAAAAATGTATGATTTCCAATATTTCAGGGCATTCACATTCCATTCATCCAGGAACTGTGCCATCTTCTGCTTTGTTCAGTTAGGGTTAGAGTTAGCCCTCACCTTTACTTGACGTCCTTCCAGGAGAACCCCTACCCCGCAGTCGCAATGCACAAAGTCCAGAGGCCATCAGAAACCAGCCAGAGTACGGATCAGAGTCGGACACCGTTTCCTGTTCTGGATGATGTTGCAGTGCAGCTCTTCATCGATCACGCTGTTGCCAAGCTCAACAATTCACCGCCTGTTGTAAAAGCAGAGCTCAAGAGCATGGTGCCATCTGGGCCTCCACTGGGTGAGCACAACCTCTATTCCTTAAGATTAAAACACAAAGAGGAATCTGATGGTAACGCACAAACTGAAGTCACCCATGAGGATTTGTAGATGTGTATTTCACAATGGGAATATAAGCTTTGTGTTAAAAATGTAAAAATACAGATGTGTATTTATCTTTATGCAACTCAGACTAAGCGTTTTATTTTTAGCAATAGAGACAGTTTGTCATGATGTTGATGAAAAACTGCTACTTCCTCTCAGGAGACATTGTTGACAGGAACGGTAATGTGATGGCTAACAGCGCTCGCAGGCTGGAGGTGGTCAGGAACTGCATCACTTATATATTTGACAACAAGATGCTGGAGGCCAAGAAGGTGAGTGAGACTCATGATGTCTGCAAGATGGAGCTACAGCGTTTCTAAACTCCAAACTTAGGGAACGAAAATAGGAATGAATTCCTTTTTTTTCCCTAAATGATATGATGCTAAATGGAACCTTACCTTAAATGGCCATGTCACAGCAGATCATGTGTGTGTGAAGTGCATTCTGACCGTCTCTTTCCATGGTCCAGCTGATGCCGGCTGTGCTGCGGGCATTAAAGGGTCGCACAGCACGGGTCTGTCTGACCCAGGAGCTAAATCAACATGTTCTTCAGAACCGAGCTGTGCTGGACGACCAGCAGTTTGACTACATTGTTCGCATGATGAACTGCACTTTACAGGTGAGCCTGCACATGTGCAACACACCTCAGAACATCAGCGCTAATGCTCCATCTGTTAATGTCGCATGAAGTTTTCGCTGTCTTTTAGTGCCTCTGTCTCTAATGTTCATATAAAACCAACTAGGTTTTGAAATGTCTGTCATAACTTTTGTATTCATATTAAACAACAAATTAAGTTCTTTATCTTGCAATGCAGGACTGTTCCCATATGGATGAACATGGTATTGCAGCCGCTCTGCTTCCTCTTGTCACGGCCTTCTGCAGAGTAAGTTTCAAACTAGCATTAAGAAAGTCACTTCATTATATGTATTCAAGTCTTAAATCCATAAAGCTCTAAGAAAGCAGTGAGATACTGTAGGTTTTCCTTTCTTCACTCAGTGGGAGGAACTTTAGATGAGAAACACTCAGAATGTGACTTCTCTGTCGCTTAATCTGGGTTAAAGTTTCTTGGCTTCTTCTCAAAAATCTGTTTTTTACTGGACAGAAACTGGGTGCAGGCATCACTCAGTTTGCCTACAGCTGTGTACAAGAACACATGGTGTGGACTACCATGCAGTTTTGGGAGGCCATGTTCTACAGTGACGTTCAGAACCACATCAAAGCTCTGTACATGGAGACAGATGATGGAGACCAGCAGAGCAACTCAGTGAGCACTTACGTTCCACCCTCCATATGACTGAGAGCATCCAGCACTGGTCAAATGTGGCTTCTGGTCACCAGCTCATCTGTTTCTCTCATATTTGTTGATCCATCACCAGGACCAACAGGAAGGGTCAGGCAGCAGAAGGGAAATCAGCGCCTTGGAACTCGCGGCTGAGCAAAACCGTCTGTGGCCGACCCTCAGCAAAGAGATGCAGACAGAACGCGTGCAGAAGGAGGAGAGCACGGTGTTCAGCCAGGCCATCCATTACGCCAACAGGATGAGCTACCTCCTGCTGCCACTGGACACCAGCAAGAACCGGCTGCTAAGGAGTTCTGGCCTCGGAGACGTGGAGAGCGTCAGCAACAGCTATGTCACCAACAGGTAACCAGAGGGAGGCACATCCTCATCTCAGCCACCAGGGGTCAGAGAGTAACGATGCGTTTTGCTCTTCAAGACTTGGTGGTTTGTAGGTTAGAATGTAACAGAAGTTTAAATCGGGTTCATCTTGTCTTGCAGTATTGCAGGCAGCATGGCAGAGAGCTACGACACAGAGAGTGGCTTTGAAGATGCAGAGAGCTCGGACGTGGCCAATTCAGTGGTGCGCTTTATCAACCGCTTTGTAGATAAAGTGTGTAATGAGAGCGGAGTGACGAACGAGCACCTGAAAGCGCTCCACACTATGATACCAGGTACGGTCCCACACTCACTGATCTCTGATTGAGCAGTTTACAAGCATTGTATGGAGCTTCACTGGTATAAATGTGTTTGCAGATATTGTTCAGATGCACATCGAGACACTGGACGCAGTCCACAGGGAGAGTAAGAGACTGCCTCCGATCCAAAAGGTAACCAATTCCTGTTTTTACCTTCCACTGGAAAAAGGTCATGCAGAGCCCCATCCAGCCCCGCCCACCCCCCTCTCCACCAATCCCTTCAGCTCAGGCTCACAGTGTCACGGCAGGTACGTCTGTCCACCCAGACAGAACGGCGTGATTCTCAGCATGCCGCAGTGGTGCTTGCTGGGTGATGGTTCCCTCCCACCCTGCTGTTTGATCTCTGTAGAGGCCGGAGAAGCTCAGTCTAGCTGTTGTAGCTTCTCCAGGACCTCCAGAGCCGAGTGCCTTCACGCTGAAGGGTGCATGCATGCAGTGTGCTGGAGATGGATATGGGCTACGCCGAGCTTGAGCTGACTGTTTTTTTTTTTTTAATCATTCCTGTAGATATGTTATAGGAAAATGGCATCATGTGAGCATTGTCTCGCCTTAGTTTTCAGAGTAAATCAGTCAGTAGCCCCTACAGTGCCCTGCATGTTTTGGATGAGTCTCTGCTTCAGCAAAACTGATTGAAATGAATAAAGTACCTCAGCAAGTCATCAAGTTCTGAAGTGACCTGGTAATGACCCACTGGTTTGACTGGAGTCATGTTACAACCACAGACTTTAACAGAAAGTCATTTTGAGTGGTAGACAAACACTAAGTAGTGCATGCAGTGGGAATTTTCATTGTTTTGAAAATCTTTTGCAAATATAAATCTAAAGGTGTGCTCACTAGAAACTAGAGGCTTAGTTTGTACTCATTGTTCTTTGCAAAATAGCTCATTACAGTCATGGATGGATTCAGAGCAGGACTTTGTTTGAAGAGTTCATTCTAATATAGAAAAAGGCTTTGATTTTATCTAGTAACTCTGTGCCCTTAGTGCCACTTTCCTGCAGCTTTTGGACGCTTTCCTGCTCCAACACACCTGAACCAAACACTGAATTACCACCTCGGTACATCAGCAAATTTTGCAAATGCAAAAGTAACCTATTCATTTGATTCTGTGGATTCTAATCATGCATTACTCTCCTTTGTACTTCCAACATTTCAACAGTTTGTCAGCTACTCTTTCAGATAAAACAAGACATTGGATACTTTTCCAAAGCAAGACCTCCTCTGGAAAAAGCTGATCACAATATCATTTTTCTCTGCTCAGCATATAAACTCCTAGTTCGTAGGCATCCTGTAAAGAAAGGCTAGAAGATGGTCGCAGGAAGCTGAAGAGGCGACAGAATGAAATGCTCTGTGCCAGCCACATTAACAGTAACTTCCATGACTGAGTGTGTTACTGTTAGGTTTTATTTGCAAAAGAAATTGAACTGTTTGTTGTTCTCATTCCACGTATATGCGCTACTTTGGGTCGGTATACCAGATAAACACCCAGTAAATACATTGTATGATTGTAATTTGACAAAAAGGACGAACATCATAGTTCTGATTGTGCCATCAGTTCAGTCAAATAGAATTTCTTTTTTTTTTTTTTTTTGTGGTGTTTCTTTGGAATCTCTCCCAAACAGAGATGAATGGTGAAGTGGTTAAAAGGACAAAGCCAACTTCACACTTTTCACGGTCTGCCTTTGGAATACCTCAGCAGTCTCGTAATCAGCCCTGAGTTCAAAATGAAGCTGCTGACAAAATACCAGACGATTGACAAATATAAAAAACATAATGCTGGTCTTTGGTTTATATAGTTTTTTGTGTATAAAATCTCATTTACAAGGACTTCTCCAGATGACATCTGGTTGGTGTTTGTTCTGCAGTCAGAATTTAACTTTAACATTACCCAGATTGCAAGCAATGGTAATTCAACTTTGAATTATGGTAAAAAAAAGGTTGATTTTTGGTTATTGTCAACGGTGGAACAACCATCAAACAATTATCCTATTCTAGCCACGTAACCAATGTTGAAGAATTGTCACTGAGTCAATGTTGTTTTGTGATTGAATTCTAATGATTCAAATGCCAACATCTGATCAATGTTAAATCAATGTAATGACGTTTATGACGTTTTAAACTGTTAAGGACAGTGGGTTGTGATTCCTTTCTGTACATTTTCTTACTTGTCTGTAAATATTACTGACTGTTTGTGCGTAATGTGTTGACAAAAACATCTACAAGTCACTTCAAGCAGTGGAGTGGTCCACCCCCTCCAACTCACCTTTTTACATGAGTGGTATGGCCCAACTACACGACCCTTTGCTGCTGGCTTGTTTGCAACCTGCTTCTGAATTGAATTCTACTCTGAGCACTTTTGCAGTAAGTTTGGCGACATTACTTTTATCTTAACTTTGTTTATTGAAAAATAACTGCATTGTTTTGTGCCTATGCTGCAGCTTGAGAAGTAAAGGTGTGATTATATATGTCGACTAACTTTAAGATACATTTTCATGAATATTCATTGGCATATTAGTTTAGTTGTGAGTGTACAAGTGGAACTATACAGTTTCTGTGTGTGTTCTCAGATGCAGTACACTGTTTAATATTTCACTGTGTTTCAAAACTTTTCAAATGTTTATCATCTTTCTAACCGGCACCTTCCTCACTCTTGTTTTGGTGTTTTTCAGCTGCTGCTCGGTAGTTTGGCCCAAAGCTGACTGACAAGGACTATAGCGAAACTGTCAAGAAGTGGCTTTGTTACGCAACAGAGAGGGAGGAAGGCATCAAGAAACCAGTGTGATGCCAACCAAAGTCAAACTTGGGTTACCCCAACACATAATGTTTCCCTGGTTCATACAGCACAAGGCTTAACCTCATGGACGCTGTTCTTCTATGGACAATAGACTGTTGTTCAAAAAGGAATCAAATATTTTTACAGATCTATACGTGTTTTCTTAATAAAATGAAATATTAATGCCATCTTGTTATTTTTAAGCTTGTGTACACACATTTTTGGAAATATGTTAATGTAAGATAATTTTGAATGACATAATACTTATTGTCTGTCAACAACATTGTGTATTTAACACCTGTGAAAAAACTTGTAATGGTATGTGATGATGTAGACCTATCAGACCAAAAAATATACAAGACTCAATATTGATTCCTTAACTTTGATTCGATGTAAAACTAAAATGTGCATGTAGATGATTGTTGAAACAACATTGATATAGTGTCAGTTATTAATGTTGATTCGACATGTCAGTCACCGACCACTTTTAATATCATTTCAGTGTCATTCTTCAACATGGATTCAGTGTTGCTGCTTAACTATATTTCAACATTGATTCACTCGTATTTTGCTCTCTGGGTAATCAGTGCAGGTCGCATGGTTTCAAAGCATGGGAGTGATGTTTTTAGTGCGTGAAGGCCTAAAGTATTGGCACAGTTTAAAGTTACTACTTGCAGTCAAACATTCAGTCTTGTCAGCAGTTTAACTTTAAAGCACAAACACAAAGTTATCTTTTCTGTTAGTTTTTCTAAATTATTTTCACAAACCTGAAAAGGTGCTAAATAAAGGACTGTTCTACGGGGAAAAAAAGCTACATGCAAGTCTGCTTTACTTTTCTTCATTTTCTTGTTTTTCGACTTCAAATGATTTATGGCTTCTTCTTGGTTTTTGTTTTGTTTTCATCTGCAGCCCAAGTTGCTAAGGCCAACGCTGCTACCCGGTGAGGAGCTGGTGATGGATGGCATGCGGGTCCACCTCATCCCTGATGGCCGCGAAGAGGCCACAGGGCAGATGGGAGGGCCACCTCTTCTTCCTGCAGAGGGCGCCATCTTTCTTACAACTTACCGGCTTATCTTCAAGGGCACACCAAGTGATGCATTAGGTGAGGAAGAAAAGATCATCTGAGGCGTGCTGGATTTTTGGTTCATTATTCTGATGAACCAAACTGGTGTCTTTTCCTTCAGTGGGTGAACAGATAGTGACTCGCTCCTTCCCCATCGCCTCTCTGACCAAGGAGAAGAGGATCTCTGTCACTCTAACCATGGACCAATTTGTCCAGGAGGGGCTTCAGCTCCGATCCTGCACCTTCCAGGTACTTACCTCTCATAATCAGCCATCCTCTGTTAGACCTTCGCTTGTAACCCACAGGTGATCAAATGTCCTTCTCTTTCTGTCTTACCTGCAGCTAATGAAAATTGCTTTTGATGAAGAGGTTGCATCAGACCTGGCTGAGAGTTTCAGGAAGCACTTACATAAGCTGCGCTTTCCTCAGCATGTCCAGGGCACCTTTGCCTTCACAGTTGGTCAAAGTGGCAAGCTGGTGTTGGAGCCCAAAACCAAGGATAAGAACCAGTCATTAAGGTAAGAGACAAAAAGACTTTTATTCAAATAAATCAAAGAATAGCTCAGTTTTCACTCCTTTAGCTTGACTTTATCCATTGGCCCAATCACACCAAGTCTCACTAACTGGGAAGGAGTGTTGTTATAGGTTTGCTTTGTAGCTTACCATTTCATTATTTCATCAAGTACTCAGAACTCGGAAAGCAGACGAGTCATTGGATTGGTTGTTTGTTGGGCCAAGTACAGGAAGGATTTACTTTGAGGCTTGTTTGTGACCCAGAAACATAAGGAGGTTAAACTGGATATTTGTGAATCATGGTTTTCTGTTTATGCATTAGTGACACAGAGATGAAGCACATAAAGCTGTTGCTTCCAGAACTAATAGTTGCTACTGAGAACATAAGATGATTTAGAAAACCGGTTAATTCTAAAGATCAGCTCAGTGGAGATTTATATTTAACTGATTAACAATACATTTTATGTAGATAGCCTCCAGCCAAACCTCCAGATTAGTACAACATATGAATGTTGCAAAATGGCTGCCTTTGTGATGTCCTTAATTTTAGGTGATCGGTTGATGCTTACATGTAGAGGTGATTTTATCCACCAATCTTTTCTACCATTGCAAAAATCTGAAAAACAGGTCTCATTTTAAAATGTGAACAAATTTAAGACTAAAGGAAGTGTTTCTTTTGTTGTTTAGTTTATTCAATTTATAGCAACTCACTCTACCTCATGTGCAGTTAAAACAAGTTTTTGTAGTTTTGGTAAGTGAGGCTTTTGAAAGATCAGTGATCAACCAGAAAACTCCTAATTGCGACTTAAGTGGATGAAAATAAACTAAAATATATTCCTATGAAAAAAAACTAAAATGAACACATGATCATGATCCAAAGACTGCCGCTGCTTTGCGAGTCACTCAAGTCTCTGAACCATTTTGGTTTCTTAATGTAATTTCAGCATGAGTTATTTAGAAAGTAAAAAAAATAAATAAAAATACAATATGTCCCTCAGTTTTTTTTGTTTTTTTTCCTAAGTGGCGGTGTGGCTACTGACTTCAAAACCCCAAAAATAAGTTACTCAGAGTGATCCACATTGATACAAATCTTTGAGAATGTCCTTATCCTCTTCAGGACACTTTCCAAAAACCTGGTGAAGAATGCAAAGAGGACCATTAGTCGTCAGTATGTGGGCAGGAAGAAGGAGGTTCCAGCCACCTGGGAGAACAGGAGCAGCTTCCAGTCCGAGCTGGATGAAGATGAAATCTCAGGTATTACAAGGAAAAAGGCCGATCAGTTTTTTAACGATTTGTTTTTCATCATTTAACAAATTAAATGAATTGTGGGTCTAAAGTTTAAATCAATCAATTTTCTCCACAGTTTCAGAGGAAGTGGATCAGAGCGCCCTGACTCTGTCCTCTACCATCCGCTCTTCAGACAGACAGACTATGAGCAACGTTGTGGAGCGCGCCTGTTGCCGTGACTACCAGCGCCTCGGTCTGGGCACGCTGAGCAACAGCCTGACGCGATCTAAGAATGAGCCGTTCAGGATTTCTACAGCTAATCGCATGTACACAGTCTGCAGGAGGTACAGCAGCAGTAGTCAGTCTACAGATGTAGAAGGCCTTTCTAAACTATTTACACCCTTTGAGCATTTCCACATGGCATATATATTTGGTGTATTTTGTGGGGATTTTAAGTGAAAACAAGGTAATGAAATAATGTGAATAAAAGGAAATGACAAATAGTTTTCAACATTTTTCTCAAACCCCAGTTTCTGAAAACTGAATCCTTTTCTGTCCATTTTACATTGATGCACCATGTTGGTCTGTGACATGAAATCCCAATAAAATCCTTCAAAACTATTGTTTGTACCAAGACAAAATGGAACAAATTTTCAGAGTGCGTAGAAAAGACAGACAGACAGACAAATAAAAATGGCTCCACCTCTTGTGTTCCAGCTACCCCGGCCTGCTGATCATCCCTCAGAACATTCCGGACTCCACCATTAATAGGATCTGCCGCTGCTACAGACAGAATCGCTTCCCTGTCGTGTGCTGGAGACACTCACGCACCAAGGCCGTCCTGCTGCGCTCTGCAGGCCTTCATGGCAAGGGAGTCGTCAGCTTCTTCAAGTCTCCCAATGCGCCGACTGCAGGTACAACATTATGTCAAGATGACTGTCTGGGCACATTCCTAACAGTCATTTCAGTTCTTTCATTAAAAGAAGGGAGGTAGATATCTTTTCTTGATATCTTGAAGAAAAGAGAGACGTTCAGTTGCCTTCTGTTGCAGTTCTGTCATGTCCTGGATGCCTGCAGCCTATTGTGTAGCTCTTATTGGTCGTCTTTGTGCACACCATGTTCATATTTATATTTTAGTAATGTTTAGACTTTATAGGAAGAGACAGTTGGGCTTCAAAGAAGCCACATATAGCTTATTATCTGAGCTGAATGCTGAATTAGTGAGGCTTACTTAATCAGATATAAAACATCCACTTTGTCAACTTTGCGCAGATACAGTCCTGTGAAAAAATATTTGCACCATTTCAAGTTTATTCTGGCTGCATTTTGATCACACAATGTTTCAGGTCATCAAACATTATTATTATCAATCTAAAGTCTTCTGAGCAAATATAAATGGCAGATGTTTTTCACTAAGGAAAAAATAGTTAAGTAAATGATCATTTCAAAACTTTATTTCATATTTAGTTAGGTTATCTTTGTCTGATAATAAAATATTGGTGAAGTGCAGCAAACAATAAAGGGAAAAGCTCCTTTTAACACCTCAGTTATTGATGAGCCTAACATTTTGTTTCTGTTTTTCATCTCAACTAGTGCCGTCTCAAGCAGACTCCACCAGCCTGGAGCAGGAGAAATACCTCCAAGCCATCATCAGCTCCATGCCCTCCTACAGTGAGAGTACCGGCAGAAACACCCTGAGTGGCTTCACATCCACACACATGAACACATCTGGTCAGTGCACACACTCTGAAAGCACATGTTGCTGTTAGAGGACCCTTGTCCGCAGGCTGACAGCTTTTGCTGTCCACAGAGTCATCCGATAAGCTCAGGCAGCCGAAGATTGGAGACCTGATGAAGCAGGTTCTGGGCAACAAGGAGGACATCCCTGGAACCTTCAGCAGAGGAGGTGAGCTGCTAGTCTGTCCTCATAGTGAAATGAGGACTGATCAGGGTTGATGGTGTGTCAGTGAACACACTCCTTTTACATCATGTGTGAAATCAGTGCAAACCAGTGAACCATCCTCCGTTGTTTAACGCTGTTGGTTAACAAGCCGTCTCTGTCATTTGACCTCAGCACTTGGTCAAAAGGCGAAAGTCATCTCCCTCTCTCAGCCCAAAGTCTCTGGCAAAGCTAGGAACTCTCCTAGAGGTACAGTAGGCCACGCCCCCTCACTCTTCCTGCACTCCTCTCTAACCAATCAGATATCTAACAGTAGCTTCAGTGTGGTGTCCTTCTGGGAAAAGCAGTGTCTCTGCACAGACTAAGGGGTTTGTTGTTACTGCTTGTGTGTGTTGTGTGCATGCTGCTGCCGCTGCAGCTGGACTCTGACGTCCTGTTTGTTTCTGTTTGATTCTTCCCTCCGCTGATTAATCATCATGATGCAGATGTAGCGAAGTGAGCTGGGCAGTTTTTACTCATCGCTGCCTTGCTTCAGATCTTGGCTGGTAGCAGCTGAATGTGACAGCAGTCAGACGCCGTCACATTGAAGGATCATTCCAGCTCTTTCAGTAAAACAGAATGATCCTTTACAATGGTCTTCAACATGAAGTGTTGATTAAAGGTTCACATCATGATGTCTTGGAAGACTTGACTTT